AGAGCGAAGAGCACACAAGACTGGCTGACGGCGCGTGAAATCGACTTCATCCGGCACGAAGACTGGCCCTCCTCCAGTCCAGATTTGAATCCGTTAGATTACAAGATATGGCAACACTTGGAGGAAAAGGCGTGCTCAAAGTCTCATCCCAATTTGGAGTCACTCAAGACATCCTTGGTTAAGGCAGCCACCGATATTGACATGGACCTCGTTCGTGCTGCGTGTGTCATTTTGAATAAACTTTAGTGTCATAAGAATCTATGTTTTGTTAAGTTCATTTTGGTATATAAATGGTTACATAATGAATACACTTGTTTCAATTATTTTATATTAAACATGTGACAGAATTTATGACCTGACTAGGTATATATGATTTGAGTTAGATCATATTAGTCTGTGAGCTAGTATACAGTAAATCTATGCCTGTGAGTGAGTATAAATTATAGATGTGCCAACTCGGAAAAATAATGACTCGCGTTAAATCGAGTTGAATTTCACCCAAATCGATTTAGAAGTACGAAAAGGAGTAAAAGTTTTGTTAAAAATTACTATTTTATAAATTTGTTTTTCTAAATAGTTCTTTGGTGGGTTGGGATGACTATAATAACCAAACTTATTGTGTAGGATTGAAATAAAAAGGTATATTTAGTATGTATCACATACTTAATATGTATTTTTGGTTTTAATCTTAGATATAGTAAGTACCTGTATTTAACAACAAAACTAACTATATAGCAAGCTTCATGCAACAATATTAGTCTAACTTTAAGATGTAGGTACATATGCTTTAAATAGCTTAATTATCACAGTCAAAATATTCTTACAAAAAAATTAAAATTCAAAATATTTAAAGTACCTAAGTTAATTGTTACCATTGACGGTAATGCATCTCACAACTTAACCACCGTTTTATGATATTACAATAATAGTTCTGTGACTTATCTAACTATATTGATTATAATTAATCAAAATTATAAAGGAAACTAATTACATATCTCAGCTATTATTAAAATTCTAAATAACAAATTGTATTGTTTGTAGATAAATACTCTTTGAAACATTAAACAACCAACGAATCGTGTTCTTACTCTTTTGCTGGCTCATTTGAGTTAGTAACTCGAGTTAAACCAACATATTTATTTATCAATGAGTTAACCCATCACTAGTATAAATAAAAGTCATAGACTTAGTATCTTATAGACTAAACATTCGGTGACGTCATCAGCGCGTGAAAGGAATGCACTAGACACACACACATGCATTAGACATAAGAGTAAGGGAGAAGCAAATCTATATTTCTAGTCTTTCTCTAGGTATGTGTTTTTGATTGTTTTCCCTCCTTTATTTGACAATAACGATGTCAAGCTCTTGTGAATAACATTGATATTATAAGCAAACAGGTAATTGAATTTAGTGTTTTTTATGGGTTTTAGTTATTAGGTAAGGTGAAAAAGATGGTAAGTTGTAGCATTTTAGGATGCAACAGCATCGGTCATCGAAAAATTGATAATATTACCTTTCATCGGTAAGTTTGTTTTGTGCTTACATTTGCTACTTATACTGATTAATATCTATTGTTTTGAATATAAAGTGTAACATTTCATGTTTTTAATGAACTTTGTGATGTATTTTGTCAAATATTTGGACTCCCAAATTGTAAATTCTTCATAATAATGCTCCTTAATTTGAACGGTCATTCGAAAGCATAATGTCATAACAAACGTGTACTTTTTGATTTGGTAGGATTATAGAAACTTTAGGAATATCGGCGAGTACAATAATGTTTTCGCATTGTTGAATAATAATTGTTATTATGATTAGTAGTTATGTCCATAAATATGAATCACATAATGTTATACATATACATACACTTTTATGTTCAGCTTTAAAGGAAACTCCTTATTGCCCTACAACTCTACAATAATTTTCCATATTACATAGATGTCACAAATAATATGTAAGTATCAACCTGAAAACATGTTTGGATTCAAGTACATAAATATTGGGCAAAGTATATTTAATTTCACAAAATATGTATAGCCTGAAATCAGATAAATAAAACTTTATTGAATTCCATTAATTCTATTATACATTAGCAACAATTACATTACAATATTTATTAAAAAAAAATATAAATATATCATACTAATATAAAAATAAATATAAATATAGATAAAATAATAAAAAAATAAGTCTTAATCTTAAGGTACACAATATCACAACAACATAAGATAATATTCTCAATTAATGATGTAGAAAAAAATTGATGATAATATACTTACCGTTACCATTAGTCAGTATCAAAAGTCAAAAGTTATAGGTTTTGTGATAGTTGCCTAGCTTGGCAGCAGAATCGGCAACTGCAGTTATTTGGAGACAAACTGTGTGGGAGGTTTATGTTCAGCTGTGGAGGCATTTGTTAGGCTGTAAATGTATTAATTAACAATATCTAAAGCTTAATATGTACATATTTTTTAAAATGTTTGGTATGAATAATATTATCATTACATTTACGTATACTTGCTATTTAATTAAATCAATTGATATTGTATTATAGGTATTGTATTTATGCACAGATAGCCATACTTGATTTTTTTTGTTAAATACCTTGATATAATCCTTTACCGCATGGAATTTTTAAATCAACTTAAAAAAAAATATTTAGTTCTATACCTTATACCTGTTGATATAAAAATATTTAAAAAAAAATCGAGGTATTATTCATTACAAAAAAAATATCCAAAGTTTTGGTTCCAAATTTGGAACGATATGCATTCAAGCTTATAATTGTACGTGTTCCATATTTGGAACATCATGCAGTGTGTTCTACTTTTGGATAAGCATGTTTTTTTTAAGGTCATAATTTCAAATTTATGTCTAAATAAAAACATATTTTAAGAAATTAAATACTTATGTGACGTCGTATCAATATAATTGCAAATTTATTTTATTAGAAAAATGTCAAAAATATGATTACTAAAAATTGTGAAGTTTTTATAGGATGACTTTTGCCATAGTTGCCACGCCTGCGTAAAAATATGCGTTATGCTGGTTGGCCACCGCAGTTTTTTATTATTTTAAGTTTTCATCGAGAAATTGCTGCTGCCCCATCCCCATCTTGTATTATTGCTTACGACGCGTGGTACTGTCATCCCGTGTACAGACAAATTCTTTTGTACGCCACAATTTGCACACAAGACACTAACTTAGCAAAACATGCAGGAAATCGCGGGAGTAGGTCATTACCCTGTTTTGTACTACAAAACATAAGTGGAAACCCTTTCCTTTCGGAGGTCTGTGTTCAGCACTGAACTTAATGTACGTAATGGAATGGTATGTTAAAACACTATTGATTTTTTTGACGTGACAACGTCTTCTAATTCGATGAAGCTGGCTGCACGCACGAAAAAACATGACTCATGCGGCGTTACCTCACTCTGAGGCGTTCAATTTAAGGCCTGAAGTGCAAGCGAGAGCGCGGGACGAGCGACAAAGAGGCACAATCAGCCTCCGCGTTCGGCAGCGTTCGACATCTGTCTCTCTCCTACTTGAGTGAGTGATGCGTCTGCATGGACAGCTGCTATACAATAATACATTTACATGTTTTCGTCAAGTATGAAGTGCAGTGAAAAGTGAATGTAATGTTAATTGTTTATAGCAACATTTTCTTATGACGTTGTCACGTTCAACTATCGTCAGTAAACCGACTTTACAGACAACCGTTTTTTTTTTGTAAAAAAACAACTCGACACGAAGAAAATTTTGTTTATTATTTAATATTTATATTTTTAATTAATATTTAAGTACATACATAACATATTGCTATTTATTAGCGATATCACGCTTTGTTCTAGTAGCGTCTTCACTTAGTGCCGTCGAAATCCAAAGAGTTTATTGAATGTCCAGTAAAATCGCCGTTGAATACAGAATGATGATTCTGTTTTTACGCCTTTTCCGCCCGTAGTTTATAGTCACAGAATGTATTTACAAGAGAAATTAATTAATCATCTGAATTATAAAAGAACATTTTTTATGGTAACAATTAAGTTTTTTTTAAGAATGTAAGTGCTGTGAATATAAATAAACCCATAACGGGGGAAATGGAACAATATCTGGTAACCCAGTGTAAGTACCTCCCGCCTATTTCTATCTCAAAAGCATACGCGAATGCTTTATCTAGTCAATCCTCTATCTACGATAAAAGTAGAATCTACTAATAAGTCTGTCATAAAAGCAGCACAGACCACAGAACGAGTTTTGGCGGGAACTTGAGCGGCGACGGATTGCAGCTCCTGTATTATGGTTTAAATAATGGTTTGAAGTAGATTTTGATATGTAAAAACGGTGCGGTTTTGTGTATTAAATGTTTGGAATTATTAAATGTTGAAACGGTGAAACAAGTGCTATGATGTGATTTTCAACATAAGGTGTCTGTCTGCTTAGGCGCCTGGAGATACTATCGCCAACTGTCAGCTGTCTGCAGGTTCAAGTTGCTGTCAAAATCTCGCAAGGGCTAAACAATGTGACGCATCAACATATTGTGAAAGAGTGTATGTACTATGAAGGTTAATTATACATTGTAACTTCAGGCTGTGAAGAGCTAGAACCCAGAGCCGTAAAGCCATTTAAAAAAAGACCACAGAACAATAAATAATATATGGTCATAATATATTTATATTTATAGGTTTCCTGTATACCTGTATAGGACAGTTACTATACTCCAAAGAGAATATAATCACTACGTTTACTATACTCGTTGCCGTAGATAAATATATAATATGTAGCAAGCTGCTCTTTGCTCTTTGTCTTTGTTATAGGTGCTTGAATATTTTATTTGGAACGCAATTTGCATATTGATTTGACTCTGGGTCTAAATTCTCGTTTGATAGTTTAAAAAGTTTAATACTATTTTGCAAATAGGAGCTTGGTCTTGGTGTCAACAAAAAATGCTTGAAATTTAATTATATTTGAAGAAATTTTGCTGTAGAACTCCAGATATCATGGAAGACGATGGTGATGATAAAGATGATACTAAAAGGTAAGTATTAACAGTAGCAACATTGAAATTTTTAATATTAGGTAAGTAACTTTTTTCTTGATTTTTATAAAAATATTAATAACATTAAGTACTTTGTAACAGCTAAAGTTAATGGTAATGTAATTGAAACAAGCCATTTGTAATTACTAAGACCATGGAGATGTCATTATATATACAATAGGCATGTTATACATTATAAATGTTTTTTTATTCTTAGTTAAATGGTATAACATTTTCTCGCTAATGAGTCCTAAAATTTAAACATTTCGATGCATGTGATGTCTGCCAGATCTACGTTAGAATAGGTCAAATGAAAATTACATATTTAGCCCAATTCTTCTTACATTTAGTGTTGTAGGCAAGAGTGTTTAAGTGTAACAATATACAAAAAAAAAGCTAGCCAAGTGCCATAGTTGTCCATAACAATACATGAACTTAGAAAGGGCCCTCTTGATACTATGAGCGTATTAAGTAAGCTTGTAATTGGACCCCTAGCATTACTAAAAATAGGCCCAAATAGGATGGTGGTAGCTGAAAGACTTATTTTCCAAGCAGACCTTTAGGGACTGGTATTCAAAAAAGATTAAAAAAGATTTTTGATTTTAATAATAATAAAATCTACATCAATCATTCACATGTCAATTCTGTACAAAAATTGTCCAAGTTCACTATCCATCTATTAGTTCCCGGCAGTGCAACCCTAACATATACATAACCGTAACAAATCTTCCTGTAAACCACCACTGCCCTAAACTATCCTGATGGTTATCTGCTTACACCAAGAGTACCACAAATGAAACTGGTAGGCCTACAATAACCAGTAACTAAAAATAAGAGATAGTGGTATGTCAGAATCGTTTTCTTGGCGATTAATCCTCTCTGCCTATCCCACAAAGGAAAACATATAGAAAGCATAATAGTAGTTGTTGGCGCCTAAACACTGGTTTCAAGATTTGACGCCAGAGGGCACTTAGCTCGATACGGCGCATTCATAACCGGTTAGACGAGCGGGCGGTTGGCGGGAGTGAGTTGCTACCGGCCGCTGGGTCGAGTCGGGCAGTTGCTCAATGTGCTGGCTGAAGGCAGTAGCTCGCTGGGAGTGATGCGGTTAATCCGCGTATCTCAGTTATCGCTGCAGAAGTTTCGTGTGACCGATTTTGGGGTTACTGTCTAGATTTTTAGAATTTGTGCGTGTGACTTCGCTACGTAATTGTGATTTCGTGAAAACCACCTCCATTTAGTTTGTCTAGGTTTAAGTTCTTGACAAGCGGCTTGTATTGTATTTGACTGATTAAAGTAATTTCGTTGGAAAGTAATTGCTCCAAGTATATAGTGATGGCGGTTTAGTTGATAGAGGGTTGCAAACGGACCCCTGAAACCGAAAAATGTTATTCCATACCCAGAATATTTTTTAAAGATCTATATAATGATACCCCACTCAATGGAAAAGTGGGGTAAAAAAATTGATTTTATCGCGTTTAATTAACTTATTTTTATTAAATCCCGACGTTTTGGGTGCTTTACAGTACCCACGGTCATGGGGGCTGAGGTGATTGACGTCCCGATGTCAAAGTTAACCCGGAGTACCTTCAGCTGTTTTAATTATTAATTTTGGTCCAATCTACGCAGATTGAACTTACTGTGTCTTGAAGTCTTGTAGTGGTATGCTTGGGGTTAGTTTTAATTTTATCAATTACAGGATCCCTCTATTGAAATTAAGATATTTTTTAATTTCAATAGCCTCACGTATCATCCTTGGCAGGAATCAATGTTCTTTCTCGAGAATTTGTGGTTTATCAAATCTAATGTAATGGCGGGGGCGGTCTAGGATATGATCACAAACTGCAGACTTCTAGAAAGTTAATTAAACGTGATAAAATCCGTAAAAGTAGTTTTATTCAATGTGTAGTGTTTGCATAAATATAAGAAATCATTGTGATGGAATAGATTTTGCAAAACGAGGTAACAGAATGCTCACCGCGAGCGGCGTGGCGAGTCGCGAGGTGAGCCACGAGGCGCGAGTGTAAACGCTAGCTCGTGGCTCGCCTCGCAGCTCGCCTCGCCACTCGCGGCGCTTGCGTCGGAGGCGGTTTATTGAGCACGAGGCAAAGGGCCAAAGAGCGTTGTGTTTACACTCTCGCTCTCATTCTAGTTTGTTTACGGCGCCCTTCCATAATAACATTCGAATTGCTTTTGTTTTAAAATTACAATTTTAATAAAATAATATTATTAAATCCTGCATAATAGGTACTAGCAGTTTATATAAAATTATGAAACTGAAAATGTTCTGTTTCGATGAATAGATATCATCCACCATATTCTTCCTCAACGACGCATTTTTTTTAATTTCCTTCTTTTTAAAATGGTCAAGCATCGATAAATACTTATTAAGGCAAGAGTTTAAGCCGCTATTATTTCGACGTCTTTCATCGTTGCTGGCTCAACGCAAACTGAACGCATCGCGAAAGTGTAAACAGGCACTCGTTACCTCGCAACAACACGCGAGCTGCAAGGCGAGGTACAAGGCGAGGCGCGAGGCGAGCGTCTAAACCCGGCATCAAGATTATAAGATAGTATTTAATAGAGAAATTCATGGGAGGATGCACCGGATTTGTCAGGACTTACAGCATCTTGATTTTTTGATTGAGTGTTAATGATTATATCATAAACTATGGGTTATATATAAAGTTTCGAACAAAACTGTGTTTGGTTTGCAATTTTATACAAAGAAAGTCCTTATGCCTTGTATGGACTAAGCGTTCTAATGTACACATAGTCGGTTACGCACCCACGGTAAGGCTAGTCTGTGACGACTTGCGGAGATTTTAACTATTTGTTTATTTACCATTTTACAACAAAACTATGTGTTAAAGGATAAGGCGATAAGACCTTTTTACGTGAAATAAGCCGATGTGACAGCCCATTGCAGGCACATTGGGTGGTATAGCTATTGGCAAGCTTAAATGAATTATACCACAGTTAAATAACTGTGTTATAAATCATTATTTATGTTTTAAATTTATTTCAATATTTATTAAATAGCATATTCACTAACTTAGAAATAAAATGTTATTTATTTATTTTATTTACAAATTCTACTATTTCAGTTCTGCAGGTTTTATATTATATTTTAAAAAGAACATATATAAGAACATATAACATAAAAAGAACACCATCGTTAACATTTGGATAAAACACAATTCATTTATGGAAACTCAAATATTTACTTAATTTTAACCAATCCACCTAATTCAATACATACAACATTACATTAATTTAAAAATATTTCAAAATGCTGTCAATAACTCCATAATAAGCAACAAAATAAGTTTATGAATTGGATCAAAATGATGATTTGTTATATAAAAACAAAATTATACTATAATGTACTAAAATAGTTTGTATTTTTTATTTATTGCACAGAAGAACTCGCAATTTGAGTGAGAAAAAGCGCCGCGATACATTTAATATGCTTGTTAACGAGTTGTGCTCAATGGTTTCAACTGACAACAGAAAAATGGACAAGTCTACAGTTCTCAAGACTACCATATCCTTTCTGAAAAATCATAATGGTTTGTAGATCTTGTAATTTTTAATCTTTTTTTAAATTAAGTTATTATTTTTAATTATTTCCTGTTATTAAATTTAGCCTACATATTCAATCAATAAAATTAAAGTTTTTAGAATTGTAACATGTAGATATTTTTGAAATAATTTGAAATTTTGTTTTAGAAATAACAGTCAGATCAAGGGCACATGATATTCAAGAAGACTGGAAGCCTGCATTTCTGACAAATGAAGAATTCACATACTTGGTGTTGGAGGCTTTAGAAGGCTTTGTAATGGTTTTCTCTGCTACTGGACAAATTTACTATGTATCTGAAAGCATCACATCCCTTTTGGGTCATAATCCGGTACACTAATAATATGTTAATTTTCTTATTGATGTTTAGTACAATTAGTGTTTTTACACTTTATTTCTACATAAGATTTGATCTTATTACAACAAATTGTTTTCTTTGTCAGTGTTGGATTATGAATCATTATTATATTTTTAGGGTGACCTATTGAATAAAAGTATTTTTGATCTGGCATATGAAGAGGATCGATCTCATTTATACCGTCTTCTACAAAACCCTGGGGCTGCAGTTGACCCTCTTCAGCCTTTACTAAAAGGTAAGTTATTCATAACATGGATTATGTCAGCTCAGCTTGATGTCCAAAATTTATATCAAAAAGTATAATATGTGTCAATAATGCAAATATTGCAATTATTATTACGTAATATAATTATGGTATTTTGATGTTCATCGCCTCATTACGTCACGACGGTTACGTAAGGTGCGACTATAAGAAATACCAGTAATATGTTACGGCTTCCAATATGACGTTTTACTTTCTTGTTTACTCTAGACAAAATAACCAGAACCACGCCAGAGAGCAGCGTGACAGGTGCAAGATGTCTGGTATCGCTATTCCTCCCAGGAATAGCGAACAGATTAATGAAAATAATTATGATGCATTCTTGAGTCTCTCGTAAATTAAAATATTTACTCGAATACGCTCTACTGAAGTACTGTTCTATTGAGTTGGTATTTATGTCACGTAAACAGTTACATAAACTTACGGGGAACTTTTGAATAGCTCTCAGAATATACTTGTATTGTAAGTTTCGAAATATTTTTCTTACAAACAATTCAGGTGTACTTCTAAGAAAGCGATGTGATGCACCGCACAGGCATATTTCTGTTTTTAAAACTTTGCAATGTAAGCGTTTATAATTTTTCATCATGTTCATGTTGTAGAAATTTTTGCTGGCGCGCTTTTATTTGTATTTATTTTTGCAATTTTGATCCTGGCGATTTATTTAACTTTCAATCAAATATTCGTATTTAAATTTACTTTAAGACATTAACGCGTTACGAATAGAGATTTCGATTGCGATATTGAGCCATGCTTGTATATGTTTCTTACTAGCTGACCCATGACTTTAATTTATTAGTCTATTAAATCTAAAATCTTTTCGATAATATGATTAAAAAAAAATGTGCTAGTGAATTAATTCGCATACACCGCCACTACACGGCGATATTTTTTTTATAGGAGAGGTGGCAAACGAGCATGCGGCTCACCTGATGGTAAGTGACTACCGCCGCCCATGAACGACTGCATCACCAGGGAAATTGCAGATGCTTTGCCGGCCTTTTAGAAAGGAGTAGGCTCTTTTCTTGAAGGTCCCTAAGTCGTAAGTGACTATCGCCGCCCATGAACAACTGCAACACCAGGGGAATTACAGATGCGTTGCCGTCCTTTTAAAAAGGAGTAGGCTCTTTTCTTAAAAGTCCCTTTTATTATTGATATTCTGAATTATATTATATTAACTTAGTATAGCAATTTGAATTTATCGAAATAAATACTTTTACAGTATTTAAAATAAATACAAAAATACTGCATTGAATATACTTAAAAATTTCATCCAGATTAGTTTTATGTTAAATAGAATGTATATGTATATTTAGCTCTATTGGTCATACTTTTAACACATACATTATTGATGACGTTAATTTAATTTATAGCGAAACTAAAAATAACTTCTAGACAGGCAATCCCGCTCACATATTTCTTCTTTCTTCTTTATCAGCCTGTAGCAGTTCATTGCTGGACTTACACATAGGCACCTATAAACAAATTAATTATTGTATATGATTTTAGATGCATACATGTGCATGAAAGCATGTTCCTACAGTACGTTGAGTATGATTTTAGTTTGGTTATTGCAATACTTGAAATGCTCGCAGCGCTCCGTGTTTCCTTTTTCATCCAATTTTAAAAAAAGGAGGAGGTTTTCAAGTCGACTGTATTTTTTATGTGTTACCTCAGAACTTTTTTTAGGTAAACCGATTTTGATGATTCTTTTTTTTTATGTGAAAGCTGGTGCTTCTCATGTGTTCTCATATAAATTTGATCAAGGTCTGATCAGTAGTTTTTGAGTTATCCTTATCAATGCGTATTTAATTGACTTTGACTGTGTTGATGATGTTCTCATTTTATTGATATTGACGTCAGTTGTACAGAATTTTTAATTTTACCACTTGTATAAATTATGTTTGTATGAGATATTATATAAAAAGTAATAATTGAAAATGCGAAAACTTTATTAGAACAGTTATATAATATGTATTTTTATTTTTTAAGTATCAAAAATATGAAAATTCCAAATTTGAGAATTCACAGATTAGAAATTGCATTTTCTCATTATATTATATCAAATCATTGTATCCATAAAAGTAGAAACATACATACTGATATCATTTTATGGGCACACCTGTCAACGAATAGCCAATGTTTTGGGTATGTTATAGAGAACGAGATCAGTTTCCAGTGCCATCTCCGCCGCAGTACGCTTGACTACAGAGATGAGGCTACATACGAGCTTATTGAGTTCAATGGACATTTCCGTAAGTATTAAAAAGCTGTTAAACGAACATTTGAATATTTTCACACGCACCTTTTTTAAATATAATAATATATAATATAATAAATTATATAATAGTCACACCTGTCACTCAGAGGAGTAGGCAGAAACAACAGACTTCCATATGCCACGATTGTTGTAAATATCTCTCGTATTTTTGACATCGGTTATGGGTTAAGGGTAGGTACTTCTTTAAGGGCAGAATCTGAAAATAAATGACGCAAGTAATGAATTACCCAAAAGACATTATTCATTTTCTATTATATCTTTATATATAAAAATTACGTGTCACATTGTTTGTCCGCGATGAATTCTTAAACTACTAAACTGATTGCAATGATATTTTGCACACTGTGCAGTTTGGTCCAACTAGAGAGATAGGAACTATATACTATATAGGAACTATACACTTATAGGGATAAAAAGTATTTTATCTCTATAAGTGACCCTCAATTTTTTTATTACGAATTTAATAATTTTTATAGGACACAGGGTCGTCGGAGAAGACAGAACAATGTCTGCCTAGGAAACTAGTATATATATATAATTACTAAATCCATGATCTATAGTATGCCAACAAGAATAGACGAAATGTTCTTTTTATGATTTAAATACTGAAAATAGTAAATGCAAGTAATGATTTGCAAATAGGACCAAAAACACATTTTTATTTGGAAAAATATGTCATATAACATGTAATTCGTATCCAGAAGTAGAGTTCGGATGACCTGTATTTTCTGGTAAAACAGTAATCGAAGTAAGAAATTTATTTGACGGTAACTACTATGGCATGCGTGCCGCGTTATTATAGAGTGATAGATAGACTAATCGGTTGCACTGCTCCAGTGCATTTTAGCGGATTTCCTCCTCTTCTCTCTCTTCCTCCGACCCACTGTAAGTTTTCTCAGAATGTTTTCCTTCATCACCAAGTAGGTATATCAGTACATAAAAATGAAATCAACAATTTCACTGGCGGGGATCGCGGGGAGTACGTAAAGCGAGCGAATAGCCCCTAGTTACATAGAGAAATTATTTAATGTACCTAAGCGTGATAAAGTGTGCATTTAAGCAGTAGCGAAGGGTAGAGAACGAATTTCCGTTTATCGTTACTAGTGGGGGAAAGTGGAAAAAATCCATTTAGATATAAATGAACCTGGCTAGGCGAGCAAGAAAAAGTGCGTCGAGTTGGCCCAATGCGTGCTGGCGGACTTAACATCATGTTCACGAAATATTTTATTTGTTTTTGTGTTTGTTTGATAATTTAAAATAAATATATATTAGTATATATAATATAGTATGTCTAAAATATGTATATTTTAGGTACAAATATGGAGCAAATTAACGAAGAAAATACGTCGGGATATAGACAAGACCACGAGTCTGGGTGAGTTATACCTTTTTCATTAACTCGTGACTTTTTATTTATACTCATACAGAATAAAAGAAGAAGAAAAAGAAGCTCCCTACCTATGGGCTTCCCGAGAAATTGTGCAATTGGATCACCAGCTTCCTTGCAGATCGGAGCATCAAGGTCGTTGTAGATGGTGCATGCTCCGACTGCAAGCCTGTTAACGCTGGTGTTCCACAAGGCTGTGTGCTATCACCAACGCTGTTTCTTCTGCACATCAATGATATGCTGCTAACTGGTAACATTCATTGCTATGCGGATGACAGCACTGGTGATGCTCTATACACCGGCCGTGCCAATATTTCTCAGGAAAACGTCGCCGAGTACCAGAACAAACTTGTGTCTGAAGTCGAGTCGAAACTAAATCTAGTCCAGTTTAGTCCTCAGAAGACACAAGTTTGCGCGTTTACCGCTAAAAAGAACCCATTTGTCGTATCTCCTCAGTTTCAAGGCACTCCCCTTCTTGCCTTAGCCAGTACCGGAATCCTCGGAGTCGACATATCGAGTGACGTGTAGTTTCGTGGTCACTTGGAAGAGAAGGCCGAATTGGCCTCTAAAAAGCTTGGCGTGCTAAGCAGAGCGGGACAGTATTTCATGCCGGCACACCGCCAACAACAAGGCGCAGGTTCGGCCTCACATGGTATACTGTTCCCATCTCTGGGCAGGGGCTCCCAAGCCGGCCCAGAGCCGCATGCTCCTTTGCCTCCTCCTATGAAAGAAAACATTATAACGTTATATTATAACGTTCCAGTCTCTGACATTGGCGTCTCGCTATCTTCTACTTCTTCAACAGCCTCAATGAATCCATCGCTCAAGCTGTAGTAACTACAGAAATGCATAGAATGATTTTCTCATACTCATTCCACTAAGACTAATTTCTGAACTCTGCGCCCATCAACACGCGCTTCGTATTAGTTTGGTGTGTCTTAAGGCGACCATTTTCGTAATATAAGATTTCGGAATGTTGTAAGGTGTTATTTCACTGTTTGTTAATTTTTTTCATTTAATATTATATCTTGCAACTTTGCAATCACGAGATAAGAGATGAAGCAGGGGATAGATTATCTTATATCACCTTCAACTGCTCTGCTGCTTTGACCTGTTGGGTATGCAAATGCAGTAATATATTATTTAATACACAATTATTAGATATATTTTATTCTATTGTTTAATGTAGAATAATTTTAACTAAACTCTATGATCATTTAATTTGATCGCTTAATCCTGATTCACAATCATTAATTATTAAATTGGCATTGCAATTAGATTTGGTGTTACTAGATAAGACTTAGATTTATTTACATTTAGCATTTAATTTTAATTCATTCGACAGGTTGCTGTTCGTTTGCACCGGCCGGCTATTCACGCCGCAGCTGATACGCGACGTTTCTTTGGTGGATTCAAACCGGAGCGAGTTTACCTCCCGACACAGTCTGGAGTGGAAATTCTTGTTCCTAGATCATCGCGCACCACCTATTATCGGATACTTACCGTTCGAAGTCTTGGGTACATCTGGATATGATTACTACCACTTTGATGACTTGGAAAAAGTGGTTACGTGCCATGAAGCTTGTAAGTAAAAAATGTATTCTTATGCTCATTATATTAACCTATTGTTGCTTATTAGATAGTGTACATAAATCTAATATATCAAAATTAATGTTTGTTTTTTTGCATTTTATGCGCTGCCAAAACGTTCATCAGATTGCGCTAAAACTTTGGCATAGTATAAATAACTTACAGTAGGTGGCGCGTATCGTATCGTCACATTTATTTGAAAGTTATATATCATTCAACTTCAATGAATGTATTATCATTTCTAATTAAACAATACAACTCTTCCAAATTTAAAACGATATTTCTACAATTACTTATTTCCCCTGCGGTAACAACGCGCCGGGTACCAGTTAGTTACCTATAAAAATAACCATGGTTTGTATATTTTTTGTAACTCAAACAACCTTTTAAAGTCTTAAGGCAAAGTTCTTTCGAACTCTTACCACATTCCAATTACGTAAGGAAATGAAATGGAAACTGTTTATCTTTCGACGTAAGAAATTATAATGAGAAGTAATTAAATGTAAAGCCGTAATAAAAATTGGTTAGCCACAAATACAGCATTTAAATCATTTGGTTAACATTCAAAGATTCTGTTTGCAATAAAAAAAGGAACATTCGGCAATTCCTGTTTCTTCAATTTTTGAAAAATCAATCCGCGAAATGCTTAATTGATCAGCAAGATACACGATTGGTTAGCAAAGAAAATATGTCTATAATCAGAGACTTAAATTCAAGTACTGCTGGCCGCACCTAGTTCTAGTCGGCTAGAACTAGGTGCGGCAAGAAGTAGTCACCAGGCCACCCCAAAGTCGCGTACATTTCTCTGTAATAATAATAATCTTTATTAGTTTTTAGTTGTTTATGTCCTAAGTGCTTATCAAAATTTTATAAACATGAGTCACTCATTGCAGCTTATATAATTAATATGCAGTTCTAAAAAAATTACAGCCGACCAGAATGTCAAAAATTACCGATTAATAACAGTATGTGCTCAACTTTTATTTTCGTAAAACCTGGTATTTTTTTTTGTTTTATTCGAAGTCCAATTACCATAAAAAGGTTTTCTGCGAATGAAATAATAAAAAAAAAACATATTGGACATTTTCACCGCCCCAATTTTGGTGCGCTGAGCACGGCAGACCATGCCCATAACAACTCCTTAAATTTTTCTAATTGTTATAATAATAATTTTAATAATTGTTATAGAGTTGCAAAAAAAATTATTTTATCTAAAGAACATTTATTATGCAACATGTAACAAAAACCCTGTGGTTCCTGTTAAGTACGTTATCAAGATCAGTATTCGAAGCTATAGTATATATATATAATAACTTTTTTTTAAAACTCGACAATATTTTTTTTTATTAATTTTTTTTTAAATTTTATGTGGTTTTATTACCTCTTACTTACTAATAGCCAATGCTAAAGCTAAGTAAAGTGGGGTCTTTGACAATACTCTTACTCCCCAGACAATGCAGAAGTAATAAAACCATATACAATTTGCATACAATTATTTTTTTAATAAAATAAAAAAATATTGTTCGAGTTTAAAAAAAATATTACTATATGTTTAAATAATGATCCTGATAACGTAGGTACTTAACGGGAACCACAGGGTTTTTGTTACATATTGTATAATAATGCTTATTTTATCAGTATTTATGATATATTTAGGAGTAGAAAATTTCAAAACAATTTTTATACTTCCGCCCAAAAAAACTTAAAACCCATGAAATCCAATTGTAATAAATTCCATGCGAGCAGTTCTAAAAGCAGTTATAAACTAGCAGTTTTTAAAATGATTGATGCAAGTTAATCACCTGCACCAAACTTTGTATTGCTTGAACAAGTAGGGGTTTAGAGTTCAACCCCTATTTCTTGTATTACCTTTTATTTTCTTATCCTTATTCCTAACAATATAATTCATTTATACAAATGACATGAAATAATCACATCGTTTTCAGTGATGCAAAAGGGTGAGCTGACCTCGTGCTACTATCGGTTTCTGACCAAGGGACAGCAGTGGATTTGGCTACAGACAAGATTCTTTATCACGTATCACCAGTGGAACTCCAAACCCGAATTTGTTGTTTGTACGCATCGTGTAGTCAGGTGAGGGGTTCCGTCTAGATCTTTTTTACATTATTTTTTAAATCTTAAACCCTTGCCTATGCCGAAACGACGTCAACTACTGTATTTATTGCGTATAATGTGTATTATATGCAAGTATAATATGTTTAATTTACATAGTGTATATTACACTCGGTAACAAGGCACCGCGAGAAGTGGTAAATTATGTATGTGTAAATCGTAGTGGAAACTGTCCATGCGGTCGGAGCTAAGTTTTGCAAGACCCACTGCAGAAGAACACAAACTCTCCGATCACACTCTTAATCTCATGGCTGTTAGACGGGATATGAAGCTGCAGTCTTCAGTAGATTTGACAGTATACAGGCAACTGAACAGACAGATCTCCAAATGCATGCGGAGGGACTTACCCAACTTTAATAATGCTCGTATTAAAGAAGCGATCGAGCGGAACCAGGGCACCAAAGTCTTTGCTAGAGATCTGTTTGCCAGAAAGAGCCAACTGTCGAAGCTGAAGACCGAGTGTGGCAGCGTCGTTTCTGGGACACCTGAGATTTTGAGTGAGATTGAGACGTTCTATGGGCAGCTGTACACATCATCGTTGGAGCCACACGTAAGTGTGAGTAACGATCCAAGAGCGAGTCTTATCCGACACTATTCCGATGTTATCCCGGACGTCAGTCTGAGCGAGATTAGAATGGCTCTCCAGCACCTTAAAAACGGCAAGGCCCCAGGCCAGGTGGAATTACAGCGGAGCTTCTGAAAGCGGGTGGAAAACCGGTTCAGAAGCTCTTTAATTCCGTCCTCCATGGTGGCACTACACTGGAGACGTGGAGGAGAAGTGCGGTGGTCTTATTCTTCAAGAAAGGTGACAACGCTCTCTTGAAGAACTACTGAGCCGCGTCTACGTGCTGTTTTCGAAAGTCATTACGAATCGTCTCGCGCGCAGGCTTGACGACTTCCAGCCTCCCGAATAAGCTGGTTTCCGAAAAGACTTTAGCACCATAGACCACATACATACCCTTCGGCAAATTGTACAGAAGACCAAAGACAATCTGCCTCTTTGTCTTGCGTATGTGGACTATTTTCAAGCTTCTGGACTGGAAAGGATATAGGTATTAACATCAATGGCGAGTATATCACTCACCTTCGATTTGCTGACGATATAGTCCTTATGGCAGAATCGCTGGAGGACCTAAGCACTATGCTCAATGACCTCAATAGTGTTTTCCAACGCATAGGTCTTAAGATGAACATGGACAAAACAAAGATCATGTTTAATGTCCATGTCACACCTATGCCGGTAGTTGTTGGGAGCACTAAGCTCGAAGTTGTTGACGAGTATATTTACCTGGGACAAATAGTAAGACTATGTAAGTCCAACTTCGACCGAGAGTTCAATCAACGGATTCCACTTTTGAAATTACGGCACATCTTCTCGGCAGGTAAACCTCAAAACTTGAAAACGAGACTGTACACCCAGTGCGTATTGCCAGTGATGACCTATGGTACTGAGACGTGGTCCTTCACTGCTGGTTGGATGAGGAAGCTCAAGGCCGCTCAGCGAGCTATGGAGATGGCTATGCTCGGAGTTTCTCTGCGTGATAAACTTAGAAATGAGGATATCTGCAGTAGAACCGGAGTGACCGACATAGCCCAACGGATTAGTAAGCTGAAGTGGCAATGGGCCGGCCATATAGCTCGAAGAACCGACAGCCGATGGGTAAAAAAGGTTTTCGAGTGGCGGCCTCGTACCGGCGGACGAAGTGGAGGGCGTCCCCCCACTAACTAGATGGAGTGACGACCTGGTAATATATGCAGGAAGCCGATGGATGCAGGTGGCTCTGGACCGTGCTTTGTGGCATTCCTTGGGGGAGGCCTATTTTTAGCAGTGGACTTGTGAATGATGATGATGAAATCGTAGTGGAGGCAGAATTCAATTTAAATTGGAGTGGTTTTTTTTAAAGAAAACACAAAATACATAAAATATTGTGAGCAAGTTAGTAAGTAAAAGACTTTATCTGTTCAACATTAGGTCAAAGCTTTTTCAATAACTAGTATTTTGTATTTTTTAAACACATTCACTCTCTTTCACAAATTGATCCATTAATTCTGAAATAATGATACACCAATTTCCTGACATGCCCCCTCGGTCTCGTCGGCACCAGACCAAGCGGTATACATGCCATGTGCAGTGGCACCCTTTTCCTCCCATTTCCTCTCATTTACACATCACACATTTGTTCCTCTATTATTGTCTTCTTATCCTCTATTATTTCGCAAACTTCATCCATCTTGTCATTAAGTGTTCCACACACATTCAGCATAGCGAGACGTGTTGCCCTTGTGGGAGACAAAACATGACAAAATTAAAAAATTAAAAAAAAGTGTTCCATTTTCTAATTTATGAGTAAACACCCAGTATGATAATGGTTAATAAAATTGTTAGCGTAAAAAGAACGAGTGAAGAGTTTCTTACTTCTTTTAGTTGTAAAGTTAATGTGCTCACTTTACATATATTCAACCCATATGTTTTTTAAATTCACTTCTGGATAAAGGCAATTCTATAAGTGAATGCGCAAATGCGTGCATATTTTAACAGATTTAACATTAATTCGTCGAAGTGTAGGCGACATTTATATATTTAAATAACATTTTCAGTTACGCCGACGTTGCTGAAGGCACAAAGCAGGAGAGCGTCGACACTGACACGGTGAGCGAAACAGACGTCAATACCGGAGGGGTTAAAACAACACCGTCCGAAGATGCGATAGCCGCGTTGTCTCCCACATATAATATGTCTGATACTGGTGACATATTCGCGAGCTCCTATCAGCCTCTTTTACAGGTAAGCACTAGAACTACTCAGAAACAAGTGGCAATTTATTATGTAACTGTGGTATGTGATTGTGGTCAAGTACTGGCTTATAATAAATAAAAAGTAGTCCAACCATTTTTTTTTCATTTATGGAAATAAAACCATTCACAACTAAAGATCTCGATTCAAAAAGAGTAACAACTATTTAGAGAACTAAAGTCAAAAGGAATAACATTCTTTTTTCGAAAGAGTTGTAAAAGCATGAATAACTGTCAATATAAGTGTTATCTAAATTTAATAAAAAAAAAACGTGTCCAGTTCACACGCGGTAGAAGTGAAACTTTCAAATGATATTAAATATAAAACAAAAACATATCACAGCAAATTATTTATTTTATTTGTAATTTTCAACCACAAGTGCGAAATAAAATATAGGACAAAAGTTTAATTTTATAGCAAATAAATTTTAGCAAACCTTATTTTTAGACATGTATAGCCAAATCCTTGATTTATCAAAAGAGTATTTTATTTCGACTAAAATTGCTTTGTAATAGCGACGTCTATTTCATTCTATAGGTAAAATTATTTAAAAAATCATTTTATAGAACAAAAATGGATTGAGTCAAGGTGGTCTGTAATAGACACTAATAGATGGCCTAATCACGATTAATAAATCAGTATGATAAGTTAGACCCCCCTCAGAGACTCCTCTTTACTCACCACAATAAAGATAAAGATTACTATTAGAAAATCAGCCAGAAATTAATACCGGTGCGGTATGAATAAACATCGTATCTTCATTAATTGTTACCACATAATACGTCATTGACGGCTCCGTGGCGCAGTGGCTTAGCAATCAGTTGTTGCGCTGGGGGCCGCGGGTTCGAATCCCGCACGGAACAAGTATTTGTATGGCCTACAAATAATTGTCCGGGTCTGGATGTTTGTCCTTGTGCAATTTATGTTTGTAAACTGCACAAGACAGGAGAAAATCCTAGTGTGGGGGTAACGTTTTAAATCTAAAAAAAATAAATAATACAATATATCAAATTAGGTACTAAATATTAAAAGACTGAATTGTGGCAGTGCACATAACTTTTCCCTGTTGCAAATAGCAGGAGTAGAAAAGTATAAGTCTATGCCCAGTGATTATCATCATCATGGCTCAAAGCAAGGAGGCAGCGGTCTCCCCCAAGGAATACCACAAAGCACGGTCCCGAGCCACCTGCATCAATTGACTTCCTGCATGTCTTACCAGGTCGTCACTCCATCTAGTGTGGAGCCACCCTACACTTCGCCTGCTGGTGTGATTTGCCTCTCAGTTCACTCCCATCGGTTGCAGGTTCTTTGAGCTATATGGATAGCTCATCATTGCCACTTCAGCTTACTAATCCGTTGGGCTATGTCGGTCACTCTGGTTCTACTGCGAATATCCTTATTTCTAAGTTTATTACGCAGAGAAGCTCTCCATACCTCGCTGACTGACCTTGAGCTTCTTTATACGGCCAGCAGTGATGGACCATGTCTTAGATTCATAGGTCATTACTAGCAACACGCAATTGATGTACAATCTTGTTTTAATGTATGCCTGGCGAGAAGATATATCGCAATCTCGGGAGTTACCACTGCCCAGCCAAGTGGAATCCGTCGATTGACCTCTCGGAAGAAGTTGGACTTACCTATTCGGCCTATTTGACCCAGGTAAACATACTCGTCTACAACTTCGAACTTGTGCTCCGAACCACTACCGGCGTAGGTGTGATATTGACGTTACATATGACTTTTGTTTTAACACTCAAAATCTCAGATGTCCCGTAAACTATGGCCCTTTGTGGCAGACAGATCTCTGGCAAAGACGTTGGAGCTCTGGTTCCGCTCGATCGCTTCTTCAATACGAGCTGTTTTAAGGTGCGTAAGTGCCGCCGTCTGAAATTGGAGATCTGTCTGTTTAGTTGCCTGTATGCGGTTAAATCTGCTGAAGACTGCAGCTTCATCTCCCGTTTAACAGCCATGACATTAAGAGTGTGATCGGAGAGTTTTTGTGTTCTTCTGCGACGGGTCTTGCAGAATTTGCTACGACTGCATAGACAATTAAAACAAGCTTGTCATTCGTATCGTCCACTTCATTCAGTCTTCTAGGCACTGACAACGATTTTGTATCTGGAAAAACTTTTCGCGGCTTTTGATTACAGCTCATAGGGGGACAGAGTGTTGACTTCATTAGACGTGACCTCTCCAACATAACGTTTAGGTAGGTTCAGTGTGCCTCTCACCATTCGGTGATCGCTGCCGGTTTCCACACTCGCGATCACTGAGACATCACTGGATCAGTTTTCGTCTAGACGTCATAATGAAGTCAATCCCATTTTTTGTCGAACCATCGGGGTTTCACCAAGTCCACTATCTGTGGGGCCGCTTTTGGAAGAAAGAGTTCATCATAAAGAGTCCCTCTTTCTCCATAAAGTTGGCCAGCTGCTGGCCCCTTGGGTTCCGTTGCCCTACTTTCTGCTCACCGTTCTCTCTTGTGCCTAGTTTTGCATTGAAGTCTCCCATTAACACCGTATAGTGGGTTTGGAGGAATCCATGGCTCGAGAGATATATTCATACATTTCCTCCACCTCCTCATCGAAATGTGCCGAGGTTGGTGCGTAAACCTGTATGACCTTCAGCGAATACCGTTTTGTGATTCTGAGTATAAGGTACGTAACCTTCGTCGGTACACTCCCAATATTTACCACGTTGTTAACGAGATACTTGTGGACGATAAATCCTGTTGGATTACCCCCTTGGGACAGATGGTCGTCCTCCCGGTGATAGAACAAGTTGCCGGATTCAAGGATTACTGTGTCCTCTCTCTCTCTTCGGACCTCAGATAATCCTATAATATCCCAGCGCAACTTGTCTATCTCTTCTTCCAGCTCAAGGATCTTTTCGTCAGTCCTCAGGGTGCGTGCGTTATATGTTGCCAAATCGTGTCATCTTACGTGGCAACCGAACCTCCACCGGAGATTCTTAGCACCCCCTGCCCCTCGTTACCATGGTCGCCACCGTAGCCAGGAATAGTGGGTCCGCCGGGGTCTGGGGGCCGACCTCTTGTATTTCTCATCATGTGGGGACATGAACTTCTAAATCAAATTTATTAAATTGAATCCTGCGACCACGAGCGTAAATGACGCTAATCTTTACAAATTCGCGCCACTTACTTCTTTAGATTTTGAAAGGTCGTTTTCAACATATAAGTGGAAATTAAATGTTCAGAGTAATAGTTTAAAAATTGATAATTTAGAAAAAAATTTGATCCTTCGATCGGGTTTGGCACAAAGTGCTTCTTTCGAAGCTCCTTTTCCATAGGATTCCCGAGAAAGTGTGCAATTGTGTGTGTTGGATCATCAGTTTTCTTGCAGATCCGAGCCTCATGGTCGTAGTAGACGGTGCATGCTCCGATTACAAGCCCATTAACGCTGGTGTTTGCGTGCTATCACCAACGCTGTTTTTTATGCATATCAATGATATGTTTCAAACCGGTAACATTCATTGCTATGCAGACGACAGCAAGGGTGATGCTTTATACACCGGCCGTGCCAATATTTCTCGGGAAAACGTCGCCGAGTACCGGAACAAACTTGTGTCTGAAGTCGAGACTTTGTTGAACAAATTCTCAGACTGGGGGCGACTAAATCCAGTCCTAGTAGTGGAATCGACTTAGGGACCTGCAAGAAAAGAGCTTACTCCTTTCTAAAAGGCCGGCAACGCAACTGCGATTCTCCTAGTGTTGCGGTTGTTCATGGGCGGCGGTAGTCACTTACCATCTGGTGAACCGTATGCTCGTTTTTGCTACCTCTTCTATAAAGAAAAACCTGTACACTTACATTTTCTCCTGTATAGTAGAGGCGTTTTCTTACATGAATTGTACATGGACAAGCATTCACAACAATTATATGTAGACCCTATAAGTAATTAAGTAATTGTTGGAATTCGATTTCGTGACCTCGCAACGCCGCTAACCAAATGCTTAGCCACTGTGCTACGGAGCCGTCAGAATATATTTTTTTTTATAAAATTTAAGTGAGAAACGAACTTACAGCCCGCTTCAGTGAAGTCGCAATCGGCCAGTAGTACAAGCGGTACAGTGACTACAGTCAGTACCAGCACGACCATGGGCCCCTGGCCGTGTACTTCTCACTTGCGCTTCACCGCCGGTTCGGACACGGCCTCCAGCGAATCGCGTTCCTTGCAACGGAACAGCTCACGTGAGGTAAGCGATGTAGTGTAAGGCGTTCTAGAATTGGCGCCAGTGTTTGTAATTAAAGTTTAACTATGGAATTTCATGCCGACATGGAAAGAACGATTGCATAGCAATCGTCGCAGCATTACTCATTTTCATATTTAACCAGATCTGTTTTAATGCAATTAACATAAATAAAACAGTTTTAAGTATATAAATTGTTGTTCATGTCGATAATGTAAAAGGTTTTTGTTTGAAATTAATAAAAGACTATATTATATGTAATGATAGTTCATGACAAGAAAAACGTTAACTAAAATTTCCCCTTACACTTTGAACATCAAGCACACTACATGAAGTGCCACTAATCTATTAAAAACTCTTTTTTATTTTTATATAAAAATCATAATATAGTCAATTGTCTCTTGCACCATTAAAACCAAAAGTGTTATAAAAGAAATATTGATAAAACTACATGAACAAATAATTTTTTAAGGTTTTTAAAGAGTGGTTTGAAAAGTTGCTTGTCAGCCTACAAAACCCATCTAAAATTATAAAAGACAATTGTCTTATTTGTAATATTTGTTAGCATTTCTTACACAAGTCCACTGATGAACATAGTATTCCCCCATATATTGACTTATAGGGGGATATTAGCCATAGTTGCCACGCTTTGCAGGCGGGATGGCAACCGCAGATTTTTTATTGGTGATTTTCTCTGTCACCTCTTACGACACCCATGGGACGATATGAGTTAGTGGATTTTTTTAATGGAATAAGGATGACAAACGAGCACATAGTCCACCTGATGGTAAATAGATTCTGTGAGCCATAGACATCGTACTACAACCATAATATGCTGGCTGGCTCTACCACGTATAAAATATATATATTATGGATAATTTTACTCCGGCCACTACAATGCATATAGCAACGCAGGCCACCGGCGGACCGGAGGGGAGTAGCCAAAGCTTTTTCCCGATACAGAACTGTCTGCAATTTTTTGTGGGAGGAAATGGCGTTGTTTTTTGGGATTTTGTTATAAGGAAATGCAGTAGATTTAGACACTATCTTTTTTGCAAAAGCCGTATAACACTTGGAACTAAAAGAGTCTTTCAGAGAAAACTTTTAAGAAATAAATATATTAACTTCGGCCTCTCAGTATATTTACGAAAATTAATGTATGTTCACAAAAATAAAAGTAGTATATATAAAAGGGGATAATATACACTTCGTAAACACCAGGAACAAACACAAGCTATTAATAGCAGTTACTTGATTCCACAGAGTAATTCATTCATTCATTGGGTAATGTATGTCTTATGTAACAATCTGGGTAAATATACATTGTACCGAGTTATTTTTTTATTATATCAATGAACACAAGTTTAACAAAACCCCTGGCATTGAGGTGATCGCTCCCAAGCTGACTCTTAATTTTAAGTAATTGAACAACCTAATCTTTCTTGTATCATGTTAATTTAAAATCAAGTCTCGCTAAGTTTCTTGCTGATTGTTCCCAGGACAAAGGTGTATTCCGAACCAGTGGTAAAAGGAAAAAATGCCTTTGCATAAGAATTATTTGTATCTATATTGAACCTTGTTGGAATACTATTTCATTTCAATTCATTCAATTCATTCATTCAATTCATATTCTATTTCAATCACAACTGCACAGTTTGTACAATTTTACATATAAAGAGTTCGTGTATTTTCTACGATAGCTCATGGCGTTACCGTCTGATCTATCTTATGAACCTTGTCATGGTAATATGATGATGTTCCAGCAAACGCACAAGGGCTCCGAGCCGGCACTTGAACCTCAGCACGGTATTGGGGCTCAGTATTTGGAACCAGCGTCGTATATGGGAGCTGTGGGGGTTTCCGGGATGTTGCCGATGCCTCTGCACCCACTGCCGGTCATTGTGTCCTCAGATCAGGCGCAGATACAGGTGTGTTCCGCAAAGATTATCATTATATTGCACCCAATATATTATTCTATTCAAATGAAATTGTGAACTTTGACCCATATCCTAAGATATTACCTAGTCAGGTCATAAATTCTGCCACATGTTTAATATAAAATAATTGAAACAAGTTTATTCATTATGTAACCATTTATATACCAAAATGAACTTAACAAAACATAGATTCTTATGACACTAAAGTTTATTCAAAATGACCTCCGTGATTTTGAATACAGGCCTTCAATCTGCGCGGCCAGTCGTCTATCGCAGCACGAACGAGGTCCATGTCAATATCGGCGGCTGCCTTAATCAAGGATGTCTTGAGTGACTCCAAATTGGGATGAGGCTTTTTAGCACGCCTTTTCCTCCAAGTGTTGCCATATCTTGTAATCTAATGGATTCAAATCTGGACTGGAGGAGGGCCAGTCTTCGTGCCGGATGAAGTCGATTTCACGCGCCGCCAGCCAGTCTTGTGTGCTCTTCGCTCTATGAGCTGGCGCCGAATCTTGTTGGAATACCCAGTGCCTGTTATTGAACATGGTATGAGAAACAGGTTCCACAAGGTTCGTCAGGACTGTATTTTGATACATAACTGCATTCGTTTTTACACCTTTCTCACAAAAATGTACCTCTGTTAAGCCCCAATAAGAAACTCCCAACCATACCATGAGCGAGGATGGAAAATGACCTCGTTGGACACGCGGAATACGGTTGCTCGCTTTTTCACTACTGTGTATACACCTTATCATTTTGTTTGTTGTAGCTCTCATCTACGGTAAAAATTTTTTCATCCGAAAAAAGAAGTTCCCGATATTTTTTCCCGCGTACCGCTTCAACAAAGCGCGGCATCTCTTCAGTCTCAGGTCCATTAGACGAGTATTCAAACGATGTCCTGTTTTTCTTCGATATGCCCGAAGCCCTAAGACTTCATTTAACACACTTTTCACCGTGGTTCTGCTTAACCCCATCTGAAGGGCCAACAGTTTCTGCTTAGGTTTGGGATTTATTTGAATTCGCGCCTTCACAGCTTTTATCACTGCTGGAGTCCTAACAGACCCAGGGCGACCACTTCTTGACCTGTCATCTACACTAGAGTCTTCATTGTATCGTTTGATGGTACGATAAACGAATCTTTTTATGTTCAAATTTTTTGTGATGTGTGAAATGTCAAAAATTTGAATTGGCGCGTAACCGCAACGATGCAACGCAATAACTGCAACACGGTCTTCTTTAAGCGTCCACTCCATATTTAAAAATGAGTAAAATTCTAAAAAGTATACAGTTTTATTTTCATGAAGAATTCGAAATTCGAATTCAATAAACTTTTTTGTGGCCAGCATTCTAAAAGAAAAATTTTTACTGTGTGACAATACTTATGACCTGACTAGGTATATATCCCTACGTTTTAAGAGGCGGAACTTCCATAATAAAAATATATCTATGAAAAAGGTACCCAGCTATCTTACCAACATCAAGACACGATGACAATCTATGTGCATTATTATAGTGCTGTAATTATCTAACTTCAAATGATTTTATCGTTGTAGTGTTTATCGATATATTACTTATCAATATTTTTATATAATAAAAGTTAAATCTCCTTATCGAATGATTTTTGCGAAATAAATAAAACTATAAAAGTTTATATTATCTCGTGGCAATTGAATAAAAATACCGATTAGTGTGCCTAATGCGAGTTCCACAAAATCATTCGAATGACTTCACCATCGCGTTAACCGAGTTAACGTCATAGGTATCGACAAGTGAAGACAAGCGAGTGTGAGTTACAATAGAAGCTCACCCATCGATCCGCATTTGCTCACTATGAATGGCGTTCGTTCATTCTCTTACGTTGGCAGCGCGCCCCCGTCGTAAGATAAACTAACCAAATTGAGAACGACATTTTTTTTAGTGGTCTTAATATTAGCATCTGTCTATCAAAGTTGTGGTTATTAAAGCGATCTTTATTTTCTATTTGTTTATGTTTCGTAATTTGATCAAGGTTTCAACTTCGGGGAGTGATCCCGGCGTGCCGAGATGTTTTGTAGCAACCTCCGGACATTTCAGCAACACGTGGGCCGCCGTTTCTTCCTCCCCCATACATGCCCTGCACTGGGGACTATCTGTTACACCTATAGTAAATAAATGTATGTTAAAGGTGCCGTGTCCTGTGATAGTACTTGTTACTATCCTGATCTGTGGCTTGTTCAGTCTCATTAGAACTTTGGTTAAACAACTGTTTATTTAACGGCCTCCCTAGCTTCTTTGCAGTCTACTAGATTTTTCCAAAGCTGAGCGTGTTGATTAGTGAAGTGTCTACATACCAGTGAACGAAGGTTACCAAAGGGGATTGGTATGATTGGTTCCGGCCCTATAGTGGCAAGAGTCGATCCTCTTCTGGCCAGTTCGTCTGCTGCATCTTTGCCTCTGGATCCACTGTCTCCCTTTATCCATTGCAGAGTCACATTGTTTTTGCATACCTCATTTAATCGATGGCATTCATATATTAGCCCCGAGATCATCCCTTTTGCCCCTCAGAGTTTGTAGTACCGCCCTACTGTCGGTCAGTATACTGATGGAAAAGTCATTAACCTTCCTAGCATCTATTGCTATGGCTGCTTGAATGATACCCATACATTCCGCCTGAAAGACTGTGTTATAGATACCCAGCGGTGTGCATGTGTGTATATTGAGGTCTTCAGAGAAAGTTCCAGATCCTACACATTCATTTGTTTTAGAACCATCGGTGAAAACTCTAAGCTCTTTTGGGCTTAATCCTTTCGGCTGGCTGGTTTCATTTAATTGTATCTTGTACTTCTTATCAAATACAAATTGTTTAGGGATCTTATCGTATTTGGCTTGTAAAATAGAAATTTTTGAGTGAATTCTATCAAAATAATTTAAAAAAAATTATGCCTGTATGAGGGACACTATTCTTACTCCAAAGATTTAAGATCTTGAGTCTGATGACAGCTAAAGTTGCTTCTTGTTGTATATGTAGATGAAGCGGGGTTAGCTCCAGCATCTCTTCTAAGGCTGCTGTGGGCGTAGTCCTTATGCAGCCCGTGGCAGCCATATATGCCCGTCTCCGGTAGCGCTGAAGGTTCTTTGTAGTGGTTGCTTCATTTGTCTTGGTCCACCATACTAGAACGCCGTATGTGATCGTGAGCCGAATTACAGTTTTGTACAGCCACAGTATGATTTTTGGCGTCAGACCCCATCTTTTGCCAATCATGTTTCTGCATTGCCAGAAAGTTATACTAGCTTTGTTGATTTTGTTTTCTATGTGTTTATTCCAGTTGAGTTTACTGTCCAAGGTAAGGCCTAAATATTTTCCCCTAAAGGCTAGCTGGAGTTTTGTGCTGAAAAGACTTAGGAGATGATAGTTATTCAGCATTTGTTTTTGTGTGAACATCACTAGAACCGTTTTATTTGTATTTCCTGCACCATCTCTCCACTATACGGAGAGCCGCTTGGGTCACGTCGCACACCATGCTTGCTGTCTTTCCAGACACCAGTATTGTCAGGTCATCAGCAAAACCTACTGTGTAGAAGTTATTAGTATTTAATTTGCAAGTTAATTAATGATCATATTCCATAGGAGAGGTAAAAGAACCCCACCCTGCGGGCAGCCTTTCTTAATCTGGATTGTTTGATCTTTATTGTTCGTGTACTGAGCATGTTTACTATCCAGTCGATCAGTGCCGGTTCAAATTTATGTCTACTGAGTGTACCTTTTATGCTGTAGAAGTTCGTTCTGTCAAAAATACCTTCTATTTCTATGAAAGAACCTAGACATATTTCTTTGTTTTGGATGGTCTCTTGAATCTTTGTTATTACCTGGTGAAGTGCCGATTCTGTCGATTTACCTAGACTGTATGCGTGTTGCTTGTCGTGTAGCGGTAAGTTAATTAGCGCCGATCCCCTTAATTCCCTTTCACACATCCTCTCCATCGTCTTTAGGAGAAAGGATGTGAGGCTTATGGGTCTATAGGATTTAGGCTCGATGTTCCATATCGACGACTTAATAAATACTCGCACTCATGAATTGTGATTGCGATTATTATCACTAGTTGGCGCTGATTTTATTCCACACACATCGTAATTAACATTCTGGGGATCGAACACGTAAAAAAACTCGCACTAGGTATGTGTAATGTATGTAAATAAAATAACTAGATGTGTGTAGACCAAACCGGTTCATTCAAAGATTGCCCTCTTGCAATGTAAAACTTCAAGAAATTACAATGAAATAATAGCAGGCCTGTCTCACTCCGCGCTTTAGGCATGAAAATGTACCTACGCTGCGGGGTTTCCTACAAGCGGCTAGCGGCCCCTAAAATTCCGTGAGGTTATCACGCGCGCTGGAGCTGACTCGCGCCTTACGTTAACAAAAAGTATTTTTCTCTTTTAAGTATTTAGCCACTTTTGATATTTATTTTTGAGTTTTTATTCAAGTAATGCCTCTCAAAAAGCCAAAAGGTATTCCGGTACTTAAATAACAATAGGCATGTTGACTTTTCATTATTTACTGCTCCTAAGGATACCAAAAGGTAAGATATTATTATTTATAGGTAGATCTAGATAATTACATACTTAGTTAGTGACGCCATAGTTACAGATTTATTATTTGATTAGCGATCCGACCACAGCTTGGCAATTTTCGATTTTTTCGCGTATAATGCCAATGACCTTAAAAATAAGTTCAGTGTAAGTAAACTTCCCAGTACTCGTGACTGCCTACTAATGCAGCATTTAATGATTATTAGTTTTACACTTGGTCGATAAAAGAAAGAGATTGAAAATAGCAGCACTTCTCATAGCCACACTTTTATTAATAATGCCGTTTGTAAATAGCTAAAAATATGAAACAGACAAGTGACGGCTCCGTGGCGCAGTGGCTTAGTCATTACTACCCGCGGCCCTTAGCGCTGCAACTCATTAGTTGCAGCGCTAAGGGCCGCGGGTTTGAATCCCGGACGGAA